ATGGAGAGGAAGGTGGGGGCTGGTGGTCAAAGTTTAACCTTACTCTCGTTAGAATTGGTTCAAAGAGGGAGTAACATACTCAGGTGGATAAAGAAATCTATCTTACCCTATAGGGAAGTAAAAAGTGATGGGGATAAAAGAAGAGGGAGGTGCTGATAGAAGGGAGGGTGGATTGGAGGAGTCAGTGATCAGAAGTAAACATTTGTAAGGAAGGATAGAGAGAAAGGAAAAGAAGAAGAAGGATAAACAAGGGAAAAATAGGATGAAGGTAAATATACACTTAGGGAAACAACACTATTATAAACACAAATGGGATGAACTTACCCGTGAAAGAGAAGTGGATATCAGAATAGATTAAAAACCAGAATGCTACAATATGTTGTTTATAAGAAATACATTTGAAACAGAGACATACAGAGTGAAGGGCTGGAGCAGAATGTATTATGATTCAGCTACATTAAAAAAAAAAGTAATCATGATTTCAGACAGAGCAAAAGCAAAAATATACCTAATTAAAAGAGATAAGCAAAGAAACTAAAATGTACTGAAAGGTACCATAGACAATGAAGTAATATCAATACTAAACAGATATGCACCAAAGATTATAGCATTTAAATTTTTGAAGAAGTTTAATGAGTTACAGGAGGAAATAGATGATAAAACTGTACTAGTGGGCAACTTCAATCTCTCTCTCTCTCTCAGAACTAGATAAATCTAACCACAAAATAAACTGTGTTAATAAAGCAGCAATTATCAAAACAATCTGGTACTGACTAATAAACAGAGTGGTGGATCAGTGGAATAGATTAGGTACACAGATCAATGTAGTTAATAACCATAGTCATCTAGTGTTTGATAAACTCTAAAATCCAAGCTTTAGGGACAAAAACTCTCAATTTGACAAAATCTGCTGGGAAAACTGGAAAACAGTATGGCAGAAACTGGGTATAGAAAGCAGCATCTCACACTATATATCAACATAAGATCAAAATGGGTATATGATTTATACATAGAGTGATACCATTAGCAAATTAGGAGAACATGGAATAGTTTACCTGTCAGATGTACAGGAAAGGACGAATTTAAGAACAAACAAGATATAAAGAGCATTACAAAATGTAAAATTGATAATTTTAATTATATAAAATTAAAAAGCTTTTGCACAGACAAAACTAATGCAACCAAAATTAGAAGGAAAACAGATAACCGGAGGGAAAATTACCTCAAGTTTCTCTGATAAAGCCCTCATTTGTCAAATATATAAAGAACAGAGTCAAACTTGCAAGAATACAAGACATTCCCAACTGATAAATGATCAAAGGATAGGTTTTATGACAAAGAAATCAAAGCTTTCTATTGTCATATGAAAAAAACTACAAATTACTACTGGGTAGAGAAATGCAAATTAATACAACTCTGAGGTAGTACCTCATATCCAATGATTGGCTAATACGACATAAATGACAAATGTTGGAGGGGATGTGGGAAAACTGGGACACTAATGCACTGTTGGTGGAGTTATAAATTGATACAATCATTTTGAGGAGCAATTTGGAACGATGCCTAAAGGACAATCAAACTGTGCATATCCTTTGATGCAGCAAAACCACTGTTAGGTCTCTAACCCAAAGAGAATAAAAAGATGAAAAAAAGAAAAGGATCCTTATGTACAAAAAATAATTACAGCAGCTCTTTTTGTGATGGCTAAGAATTAGAAATAAAGGGAATGACTATCAATTGGAGAATGGCTAAACAAGTTGTGGTATATGGTTGCAATAGAATATTATTGTGCTATAATTAATGATAAGCAGGATGATTTCAGAAAAACTTGAAAAGACTTACATGAACAGATATAAATTGAAGTAAGCAGAACCAGGAAAACAATATACACAGTAACACAATATTGTATAATGATGAATTGTAAATGACTTAGCAATTCTCAGCAATACAATGGTCCAAGATAATCCCAAAAGACTCATGATGAAAAATGCCATCTGTCTCCAGAGAAAGAACTGATGCTGACTGAAGCATACCATTTTCTCTTTCTTCCTGCCTTCCTCTCTTTCTTTCTTTCTCTCTTTTGAGTCTTCTTGCACAAAATGACTAATATGAAAATGTTTTGCATGATTGCACACATATAACCTACATCAGTTTGCATACTATCTGGGGTAGAGGCAGCCAGGGAGGGAAGAATAAAATTTGGAACTCAAAACTTTTTTAAAAATGTTTAAAATTGTTCTTACATATTTAAAAAAAAGAAAGAGATAAATTAGGGAAAAGGAATCCCTAGCACAATGAAAAGGTCCAATCATGAAATCTACTAATAGGAATGGTAGAGAAGCATATATGGAAGCAAGAGAAATTTTTCAGTAACCTGTGAGAGTATAAGTAATAGATATTCATGCACTAAGTGACAGAAATGCTAGATTAACATGTGAATCAGGAAAAAAAAAAAACCTTTAAGAGTAGGTTCATCCTGTATGTGATCTCAGGAAGTATCTAAGGATGTCTATGTAATCTGCCTTGACTCTGGCTGATTTCTGACCGGAAAACTCCTATCCCTAAGTCTTCCTTCTCTTCTGGTTAACCAGATGTATTGATAAATTGCAAACGGAAAGTAAGAAGGTAAGGAGAAACTTTGAAAATCCAGGAATATACATCAAGATTCAAGTTTCATGAAGTAATTTGTATTTAAGAACATTTCTTACAAAGTAAGCTTATTGAGACTTCCTTTCAATGTGAACTATTTTGTGGTGCTTCAGAATTCAGTTATGTGAAAAATGTTTTCTTCACCTAATCAATGTCAGTATAGTCTCATTTTAAAAAAAAGAAAATAATATTTAATGACTACAAATTTAATCACTATAAATTATAGTGGGCTGTATGTGCCTAAACTTAAGATGTATGATTCTCCTCCAAATGTGTCTTTTGTTTGAAGTGTTAATTGAAAGAAAACAGGATATTAATTCAACTATATTGCTATACAAAGCAATTGTTTATATAATGTTGCTGAAATCTTGACACACTATATTGTTGCACCTTCTTGTCCTTCTTGTCTTTCTTATGAATCTCTACAGAATTTTTCTTACCTATGAATCTCTACTTATTTTTTAAAATAGTAAGTTACTAAAAGAACTGGGTTTAAAGAAAGAAAGAAAGAAAAGAAATTCTGGTGGAATGCCTCTTGACTCTCATCTTATCAGGGAGGATGAAATATTCTCAGAAAGAGAAACTCTTTGTAGAGTTTGAGGTACTATGGATTTGGGATAATGCATACACGGTCAAGCACAGCTAATGCATTGATTGGCTATCTTTTGTTACAATACAAAGGATGGGGGATAGAGACATTCAAAAACAAAGGAATATAAAAGCAAATGATACCAATAATTTTTTTTAAATAAGAAAAGAATAGAAGAGCCCTGTGAGATTGGAAATTTTTTCTCTTCATTTTCCAGAAAAGGAAAGGGAGTTGAGTCTTTCCATTACAGGCAATTGACCTTGATTTTGACTGCTAGAAAAATTCTTCAATGTATTACCAAATCGTGAACTTTAAAGGTAAGAAAAGCTTTCTGTTTCGGGGGATTGGGAGTATCTAAATAAGAACAGAGGAATCCTTACATATGTTAACAAGTTGGAAAGTTCAATGTAGAGAAGGAAGTGAAGAGGCAGAACATGTGAAGCTATGAAATAAATCTGACAGGCTTCTCATGGAGGTGACGCTGGGAGCTAAGTCTTTTCAGAAAGCACGGCCTTCAGAAGAACAATGAAGTAGATTCACTGGGAAAAATATTTGTTAAATAGACAGAAAAAAATGAGGCAAAAATGAATGATTGATGACTTCCTGACTAATTCAGCCTTTTCAGAGAATCCCAACATTTCAGAATTTTAAGGAACCACCATAGGCCTCTGGTCAAATTCCATATAACTGCACAGGGATTCCCACTACAATAGCCCACCAACCTTTGCTTAAAGACCTCCTGTAAAAGGTACCCACTACCTCGAGTGAGACATAAAGTCAAGTACATGACAGGAGAACATCCTGAAATGATCTCACCTGAAAACCACCATCCACTCCTCTCGATCCTGTAGGGGCAAAGGATGTCACCAGAAGAAACCCACAATGCAATCCAGAAGAGCATGAAGAACTGAGCAAGAAACTAAAGAGCTGAGGACCACAGTTTTGTTTGGTTTTGAAATCATTGCTACATACTGAATGCAGGAGGAAAAAGTAGAGATGGGAAGTAAAGAACAGATTGAGATGGAGACCAAGATTGGGATTTCCAGGTGATTGCCAGGAAATATGAAGAAAAAGGTTATTTATAATCTCAACCTCTACTTCCTTGATTATCTCACCTCTCAACATCTTTCTTGCTTTCCAATCTTATTATTAAATTAAAACTATTCTCTCCTAAATTACCAATGGCCTCTTAACTTCCAAATCAGATAGACTTTTCTCAATCCTAATCCTTCTCAACCTATCTGCAGTAATTGACACTGTGGGGACACTTATCTTCTTAGGTATTCACTTCTCTACATAACTGTAATTTAAGTGTTACAGGAATGAAATGGCTATAATTTTAGCAATTTTTGTGACCCTGCTGTCCATCTAGCCAAAACTTCTCAGTCTCCCTTAATGGACTATCATCCATAAAAGGATCCCTAATTGTGGTTATACCCAAAGGCTCTAACCAAGGCCTTCTATTTTCTCTTTATACTGAGTAACTGATACAAGCAGTTCCCATCGCTTTAATTATTTCCATGCACATCATGCCCAGATCCATATTTTTAGCCCTCATCTCTCTCCTAGAGCTAGAGTCTCATATAACCAAATGCCTATTCAACACTTTAAACTCAATGTCCTGTAGGTATCTCAAACTCAACATGTCCAAAAAAGAACTCATATCTTCCTCCCAAATCCATCCTACTTGATAATTTCTTTATTTCTGCTGACGGCATAGTCACCCTTTCAGTCAACAGATTTATGATCCTGGAGTCATCCTCAATTCTTCTTATTCACCCCACACAGCCAGATCAGTTGCCAAATCTGATCATGTCTACCTCCCATAGCACTCTCTTCCTTTTCTATCCACCTACATGGTCATCAACCAAATTCACTGTCCCTAGGATTATTGCATTGCCTCCTTACTAGTCTCTCTGTAAGTATCTACCCACTGCAATTAACGTTTGAGAAAACTGTAAAAGTAATTTTCCTAAAATGTAGGCCTCACCATATGACGTCCCTTCTTAATAAACTTTGGTGACACCTTGAACCTCATAGATCACATACTAAGGAGCACTCAAGACATCTGTGATAGCAGATCCACGAAAAGGATGGGGTTGTTTGGAGCCAACCTCCATAAACAAGAATCCTCTCCTTTTACAGAAAGTCTGGTGAAAATTGGAGCAGAGAAGAGAGAAGAAGAAAGAGTTGATGCTTAGCCACCAGAAAGAGTACATCTTTGTGAAGAAATGATATAAGGAACCAGGGGACAAGGCAGCCAAGCAAGGCCCACAGTAGCAAAATAGAGACAAATTGACTTCCTTCCCTTGCGTAATACTTTTCAGAGGTAAGGCCTCAAAGAAATAATCATTTGGAACAAGAGGTTTGCAGCACACAAAGTGGTAATGACATGAAGCAGAGTCCAGAGTCCCCCTCACCTCTATCCATGGAATCCTCTAACAACATGATGCTTGGGTTATGTTGGGGAGATGCCATTTTCAGCAAAGGTCCTTTCACATTTGCAAACATGGCAGTTTTCTTCATTCTGGATAAAGGGGGGGCTCTGCCGAAAAATGCTACAGGTGGAAAAAAACAAAATATAAAATAAAACAAAAAAATGGAATCTTACCTCTGGCAGATATCATTGTGGAAGAGTCTGAGTCACAGAGACAGCTATCATTCCAGTCATCAAGCTCACCTGCATCAGCAGACATCTGTCTCTATTAAGTGTCAGAGCTGTCCCCTACACCAGCTGTTCAGTGTGTCCCCAATATCTTGGTAAATGATACCCATCTACACAATATTTTGTACCCATCTACATAAGTGTAGTTTAAGGGATACAGGAATAAAATGGTTATAATTTCAACAAGTATGACTTCATTAACCTCTAAGATTTCTGCTTCTTAACATTTCTTCCCCCTCCACTTTATTTATTTCTTCTTTATGATTTTCTATCTCCCCCAAGAGATGCTTCCCCCCCTCCCATTGCATCAGGAAAGCTGCTCAAATAAAGCATCTAAAAATGCTAGCCAAGATTTCCAAAAACTGAAAGGGCAGAAAACACCAATATGACCTCTTCATCTTTAGAATATAAGTCAAGGGGCTCAGATCCACCTTACCTCGTCCACATGCTCGCTGCATTTGTTGAGGCCGGCATGAGGCCCCAAAATAGATACGAGCCAATGGAATATCTCTCCGAGTTAGGGGCCCCTGAATGGGCTGATTGAGCTCCTTATTGATAGCA